GCTTGGATTAACATTTATGTTCTGGGGAGGGGAAGACAGTATCTTAAACTCCATGAAATTGAACAATGAGATTATATTGTTTATAGCTAATGTTAAAGTCCTGTATTTTAAAGGGCAGATTTTTTTAAATAATGATAAGCTTTAGAGTATTAAGTAATTTGTCTCTTACTGAAATATTCTACAGATAGTGATTAGATAAATTCAGTAGGCATTAACTGTAACATATTTGAGCAGTACCTAGCATTTTAAAAGTGAAAGCAGTGTAGATTCCCGTGTTAACTGTTAACATTGCCAGCTTCTCTTAATTTTCCTAAAAGAGCTCCAGTTGTAGACGTCACTGACATTTGGTTACTATAGTTGTTAGAAGTTTCATACAAAATGAAGTCAGTGTATTTTTCAAAAATCAATTTAAAAATATGTCATGCCTTAACTGTTCAAACGGACTCATTGGTGTAACAGAGGGAAACAGGAAAATAATTTAGTATGGTCTGTGTGTGTGTGTGTGTGTGTGTGTGTGTATACACATACTAGTTACTGATATCAAATGAGAACATATACATAACCAGTAATTTTATGAATTATTTTGTATTTCTGTTATAAAAGGTCTGTCTACCATGTTTTCTAGGAACTTTAAGCCTAAGGCAGAACTCAAGGATTTTGGAGCCTGTATAAAATAATTTATAGCACCTTTCCAGTAAGTCTTGCCCAAACTCTTATTCTATTAATTAAACATACTGTGGCAATCTGGTATATCTTAAAGATTTAAAGGTATGTATAGTAGAAGACTAGAAAACGTAGACTACTGAGGTTGAAGAAAATTAACTTAAAAAAGAAAGAAGAAAAGAAGTAAGAAATGTTTGTTCTGGAGATCAGTTTTTTCCTGCTGTGACTATACCATCTTTTAGCATGGACACACACTCTGTCCAAATTAGCTTGTACGGTTGGGGTTCTACACTATGAAATGTCTGTTTTAAACCTGGAAATCTCCTCATGGTCTTTAGGGGAAGCAGTGAACACACAGTTCTGTGGGGACAACCCTATCTATTGCCATGGTGCTGGAAGGAGGGACATAATCTGAAATCTTGTTAAAAGCTAACTGCCTCTTTTAGCTGTGTTTGGTGAAAAGATATGTGGACTCTTATCAGATGATAACATCCCATTGGACAGATATTTTAAATAGTGTTTTTTGCTGTAAAATGATATGATGACGAAGCATTAAGTTTGAAATAAATTGTTACTTAAATCAGGAGAAGGTGGCTGAGAGAGAAGGATAAGCAGAATGTTCCATGTTTTTAATTTTCTGTGAGAGACAATTCTTAGGGAATAAGCTTGACATATGTCGATAATTCTATTCTTATTGCTAGTTGCCTGAGCAAATTGTTATATTACTTTCTTCCATGGATGTACTCTCCTCTGCAGATTTTTTTGTTGAAAGTTAGCTGTTTGGTGACACTGCATTTGGCGGTGAGCATATGAATGTGAGAAGGTGTTTTGGAACATTAGCAATTATAGCATTGGATGGTGGATAAAGAAATAGATATATAAATATTAGACCGATGCAGTTTTCCAGTGTATGTTATTTTCCATATAAAGATATAGAACATTTCATAAAATGTTCCCAGACCATTTAAAACTCAAAGCAATGCAGCTGACGCAATGAAATACATAGAGTACTTGTAAAAACATACAGACACGCAAGTGGATTGCTGCCAGACAGAAAATTTAAAGGCGGTTTGCTTAACTGCAGGGTGCTAGGTTTTGTACATGTGCCATGCTGAAACTGTTAGTAAGGCGGGTGTTGTGTTGCTTGAGAAAAGCAGATTGTATTTGGACCTTTTTAACTCAGATGTTTCCAATGTCGATATTTTGGTGACATTATGGCATTGTGATCAACTCAATGTGAAAAAAACTTCAAACTCCTGTGCAAAATAGATGTTTTAAGAAAATTCCAATAAATTACTTGCAGTCTCTGTGTTAATTTTTACAAAATGGCTTTCATAGGTTTATTAACTATCAGACTGGATCTTTGAGCTAATTGAATGGAACTTAATAGGTTGGAGTTTGGTTTTAAAAAGCATTGCCTTTTTTTAAAGTATTGTTTTAGAGAATTTTAAGAACTCATGAAGTTTGTTTTTGTAATTCTCAGGGGCCCCAAGGGCATAAAACTAAACAAAAGTTTTGTGCTTGAATTGTAGTGAATAATAATGCATATATTTCATTGGAATATTATTTTGTTAAAAATCTGGGACTCTCACATTACGGATGGTCTTTTTTTGCCGGGGGAGTGCTGAGACCTCACGCTTGCCAGGCAGGTGCTGTTCCACTGAGCTAACTCCCGCCCTGGGGATGGTCATAAGGACAGTTGAAAGAATTTAATGGGCTGTGTTTTGTTGCCTACTATCTAGGTATTGTTTAGGATCATACAGTTGGAATGGTCTACATTTGGCATCCCAGTGTCATCTTTGCTTTCAGAGTGTAAAAATTTTTTCCCAACTATTTTTCTTCTCTTTTTTCAATTCTGCTATGTTATATATATGAATAAAATTTACTTTTATAGTGATGCATTTTTATTAATATGGTTTCTTATTAATAGAGTTCATTAAAGAGATTTAAGAACTGTCTCCTACATATGGACAAGAAACTTAACTTTTTTTAAATTGAAGAATACATCATGAAGTTTAATTTCTAATGTTCATCCTCTCATGGAATGGTGATAGAAAAGTAAAATTTTTAGTTTTTATTTCCATCAGTGTTTTGTGGTTCCCAAGAAGTATAAACTACTACAAGAAAGAAGACATGATATTAAAGATTTATGTGAGTCATTTCTCTAGGAAATTTTCTAGTTGAAGAGTATCAACCACATGATAATTGGAAGAAAAAGAATAAGCTAGAGATGATTTTTGTGGCTTTCCCAAGCTCTGTTTTATGTACCTCACAGGCTTACAGCTGCATAGTTTTGGTCTCTTGGCCAAATTTTAAGGTATTTGTATGTGTTATAGCCACTGCATTCTTTTTTTCTTTTAGGCACCCTGCTTCTCTTCTTCTCACTTCCCTGATCTACCCTCTACCTTGTTCAGCCACTGTGACATACTTCAGAAAGTTTCTGGGTGACACATTGTCCTTTGGATCTTGTTAGCTAATTTTTTTTTATAGCCTACTATAGGCTGAACACCCCTAATCTGGATGTCTGCAATACTTACAAGTTCAGATTTTAGATTTATGGATTAGGGATGTTTAACCAGTAAAGTCTATGCAAATACTCCAAATAGCTGAAAAACTCCAAGATCTGTAATTCTTCTGGTCCCAAGCAAGAAGGGTTACTCAAGGTATAGTACTTTTACTGCCATGCTGTTAGCACCCTCTGGCCCCCACTGTCTCACTGTCTCACTCTCAAGTCTTTGTACAGTTTCGAGTCTTTACACAGTTTTAATGCTGTTGGCCAGTGGTGGCAAAGCTTTGGTATGAGTGCCACAGCAGGCTGTTTGTATCATTGAAAGCTCTAAAAGGTTTGCCATCACTGCTTTAGGCCAAAGATGGGGAATAGCTTTTTCACGTAGGCAGTACTGGTGTTATTATTCTAGTATTCTCTTAGTTCCAATCTAGATGTGGTATAGGCCCCTTCCTTATAGTTGAGGATGAGAGTAAGAGCAAAATCGAATCCTTGCTTTTAAGTAAACTGGAAGACATCCCAAATGCTGAAATGATCCGTATGTGGTTTCAGTGTTTTTGTAACATCCATTTTGGGTAGCTCTACTTGTGATACGACTTTTTCAATATTCTGGCTTTTGTTGTAAGTTCCTGGGGTTTTAAAATTATCATCCACTAACTTTATTGACTTAAACTCATAGTTCTAGAATTTAAATATAGTTAACAAATAGTGTGTTTCCTTTTTTCTCTTCTTGATTTTCCACTGAAGAACAATGAACTGTGTTTCTGTATTGTGCTATGGAAAGTTTTAACTTTTACATGAATTCACACAGAGAATTAGATTGGTAATTTTAGTGTGATTTTTACAGATAGATATGAAAAGTGAGTAGTGCAGATTTTGAGACCCCTCTGACAGGGGAGACACTCATATCCTGCTTTTCCATAAGCCTTTTTCACTGGTACATGATTTCCCAAGTAGAAACTATTTTGATTCCTCCCATTGATGTGTCTCTGAAGAATCAGGTCATTTTCTTCCTGGAAAAGATTGAATGTTTTCCTGATCAATAGTAAATGGAGTGCTAATAGCTTTTAATTAGTATACTTCTGTATTAACTTACAGACATGGTATTGGATTATCTTGCAATTATGATTTAAGAGTCAAATAACCTTTTAGCAATTCCCTTCTAAGCAAATGGCCAGGAAAGTTTCACTTTTGTATTTTTATAGTTTCTGAACAAGTCTAATTATGTCAGAACATCATATCATGACCCTTGGTTTATATTGATAAGTCAAAAGCGTTGGTTCTGTTTTAAAGGAAACTTTATCTAGTTTTTATGTATATTTTGGTAAGTGTTCATAGCACTTGGGGAAGGATATATTTTATTTTTAAAAGCTCTGAGTTTTACATGTGTTCCTTGAAAGAATTCCTCTCTCATTCTCCTTTTCTCTCCAGTCTGAAACTGGTGCTTAAGATTTATCAAGCCACATCTGTAAGGATAAAAAGGAGGCTGCTGCTGATTACAGAAGAAAACTCAAGCAGGTTTAAGACTCATTTTCTCTGGAAAAATATATTGAGGGCAATTTGCAGCTGGCAAGATTTTTTGCATTAGGTAATAGTCTAAAGTTAACAGTAGCATCAGGTCTTTAAAATTTTTCTTTTTTATATTTCTGGAGGAGGGTAATGGGAGTGCCTTGCAGAGTCCTTCCTTGTGCTCATCAACATAGCAGCCTCAGCTGCCCCCCTTGGATCCCCTGCCAGGGCTGCTATCATCTTCTGATCAAATATTAATGTGTGATCCTCTGCTTGCTCACTAATCCAAAGCCAATTAATATTATCTGTCAATTATTTACAG